TAAATTCCTACTTCACATTCCATGAGTATTAAAAATGATCAGTTAAAGTCCCATCTTTACCACTTTAATTTCTGAAATTTGAATCTTAGACTATTATTTAAATATTGTGAATCAGTAGTTAAGATTTTATCCCCTTTTAAACTTTTTATTTTATGCCTTATAATACCAGTATAACAGTAGTGTTGCCTTCATATTACCCATTTGCAAATGTTGGATACATGTTCATTTTTATTATTTCACATTATGATTATGATTAATTCTAATTAATCATACTTCCTACTTTAGATGAATATTTTTTAAAAAAACACAGTTAGTTGAATGATACCTGTGTAAGACTAGACTTCCTCTGATATTTTATCTCCCATGAACACTCCTTCTGCTCACACAAATTCCTCTGTAGATGGTGATTGTCACAGCTCTACAATTTTGTAACTGAATGTCCAGAATTTGAGAGGTTATAAAAACCAGTGTCACACATTTATATGTGAAAGCTAAGGCTATCATTCCAAACCTAGCACTCCTTGCTGTATGGTTCTAAATTTTCTAGTGTTGATAATCTTTTAAGATGATTTCTCTAAGACATTAGAACCACTATGGCTTCATTTATGATTCTTTACAACAAAAGAAAGAAGCTTTTAAATTATTTTCAAATTGTTAGAATGAAAAACATGCATACCAGTAAAAGGATTGCGTGAAAGAAAAAAAGAACCAGTGAAGTCCAGTGAGTAGTGAGTGCGCATTATACCATATTTTTGTTTCTACTGAAATCTTAAAAATTCCACAAGTAAAATATTTTGGAGATATAAAAATTTAACCAGATCTCTCAACAGATGACCGAAAATGCTTGTAACTATTTTATAATTTATCTTATCCCCTCTCTCATGGAAACTGATTGAGTGGTTACAAGACATGCTCTCCATTTGGACAAGATTTCTCATTTATTTGGAGAGTCTTTCAGTCAGCTTTTCCTCTTAGTCAATCAGGCACACTAATTGGAAAATTCAGGCTTTCCAATTTAGCTGTCCAGAATTCAACTTGACTAAAGGGTAAAAAATATCACTTGATATTCTCCCTGCAAAGTATGGTAAAAATCAACCACTGCTTTGGATATGGTCATTACAGTTAAATCACTCTTCATCCAAATTGACTTTTTATCAGATTACAAGAGCACATTGCCTAAAGCCCCTAAACAAAGAATGCTGAATGTGAAATGGTTTTGAATTTATTCTCAACCAGAATGCACAGTGAAATCATAGGGCACTTATATATCCAAGCTCAATTATTATTAGAGAAAAGTTCTCACTAACTTCTTAGGGGAAATGTTGCCATTAAATATTATCTTGAATGAGAGGAATTTGTAGCTTGAAGATGTTTATGAATATTTCATAAGAATCGTCTTAGGGTGCTTGCTGGTGTGTGATAGCCTAGCAAAGGTTGATAGATATGTGGAGTATTGTAATGACTTGATGGATGCATATGGAATGTTTAATGGAAAAGTGCAAAGTGCCTGCTGGGCTTCTGTGAACATTCTCCTCTGTTGTCTTGATTTAGTTGGCTGTTCAAATCCTCACAGAGGAACATTTTCTAATTAATGAATTGAAAAGTGACAGTATCATTTTATCACATTAAATATTACCATAAATATGTTTGGGACTAAGAGATGGTAGTGTATTTTTTCTCTTAATTCAAACAGATTTTGAAAATACATGTATGAATCAGGCAGTTGTTATTGAATGGGTATGTTGTTTCTTCCTTTGATGCAGAGTCTATGTAACTACATTTCTCACACCTTTGAAGTCTCAAAATCTTAACAGAATTTCACCAAATTTCATTTACAGGAGAATGTAAGAAGTTTGGTCCCAGAACAGCAGAAAAAATGAGATATCAAGAAAATATCGTTAAATTAATGCAACAAATAGCATGACTGATTTAATCTTAGGAAGATGCAAATTGGAATGTTAATTTTTTCCAAGCATTATTTAGAAGAGTACCAGGTTTGATTTGGTCTCTTTTTTTTATAATGTTAAATGAAATTGAAGAATGAAAACTAAAATGATGAGTGGATTAGAAAATGTTTTAACTTATTTAATCCTGAGTTGTTAAATCTGAACAACAGAAGAATCTTTATGAATTATAAAATTTGGACCTGTTACAACATTTACAGTACTTAAGGTTATAAAACATGGTATACCTGGTAAAATTTATTTCTGCATTATGCACAATTAACTTATAAAACAAAATTAAATTTTGGAAAAGAAGACTTTCAAAGTTTTTTTCAAACTTTAATTAAAATTATTTGTATATTTTAAACATACATATGTATCATTTTAATAATAGGGAATTTGTACCTCTACCTGGTATATTTTGATTACCATTTTTCCTAAACCCCTCTCCTTCCTTCCATCCCTCTTTCTCTCCTTATTTACAAAGCTTTGTTTCCATTTTATCAGTTTTTCCTTTTCCCTTCCTTTCTTTCCCATTCACTCCTCCCTAGTTCCTCTTTCATCTCATTTTAATATTGTATATTTTGGTCCTTGTTTACTGTTTCAGTCTCTCATACTAGAGAGACAATGCACATATAGGTTTACACATGAGTTCAATTTATTTCACTTAAAAGTATGCTATCAAGTTGAACCCACTTACCTAGAAGTATCTCAAACTTATTCTACTTGAAATTGAGTACTATATCATTGTATGCAAAAGCCACATCTTCCTTACCCATCCCTTGGTTGATTGGGCATTTGGTAGTTTCCAAGATTTAGCTATTTAAAACAGTGCTGTGATAAACATGGTTGAGCATATACCACTGTAGTGTGCTGTTTTTCATTCTCTGAAGATACCCAGAAGGGAAAATAGCTGTGCTAAATGAGACCTCTAATTCTATTAGTATGTTTGGTTTTTTTGTTTGTTTGTTTTTTTTTTGGTTTTGAAAAATATCACAGATTTTCATAGTGATTATAGTATTTCTTAAAATCTTGCAACAATTCAAGATAGTAAAACCCCCTAAATAACAGCCATTACTCTGAATTCTTTGACTATTTTAAATATGGTGACTGTGAACTGGTGAAATTAAATATAAATAGAAATATTTTACCAAATAAGCAAATGGGAAGCAGTATGTTATTAATAGAAAACACTTCCTGAGGTAAAACAAATATACATTACAGGGTCAGTATTTTGAATTTCCCTCTTTTAATGCTGTTCTGCTACTCTTAATTGGGCTCAGCCTATGACCTTGAAAAAATCACCTCACTTATAAGTAGGCTTAATCATATCTAAAATCAATTTAATGCTATTCTCCAAGTGTTTACTGAGTTGAAAGCGTACCAACTCTTCAAGATAGTTCATTTTCTTTTTATTCATATGAGAAATTAGGAATTTGACCCTTTAATTTTCCTGCATTTAAACTTATATTTTCATTCCATTGACCATAATTTTTCTCTGTGCTTATGAAAATATTTTCAAAGAATAATTATTTACAGGAGAAGAATTAAAAAGTGATAAATAGTATGACATAAACCATAACAAAATTATGGGAACATGTCATAAAATACCTATTTTTCCAGTCATTTATTTCACCTTGTTAGATGTTATTCAATGCTTTTGTAATCTTTCCTTATTAATGACACTCCTACATTTTAATACAGTGATAGAAAAGCAATGCAAAAATAAAACAAAAAAACCTGTGCTGCTGTAAACAGTTATCACTGAGGTATGATATTTCTCATTCTTCATAGAAGATACTCAGAAGATACTTACATGGAAGATGCTCAGAAGCTGGGTAAATCTGACTTCTAGTGTTAGATTTTTGTAAAATCTCTATACTGATTTCCACATACTTTCCACAAGTTTGCACTCCCACTAATAATGAAGAAGACTTCCTTTTCCCTCACATCCCTTCCAGCACTTGTTATGGGTTGATTTCTTGATGATATCCATTGTTTCTGGAGTGAGATGGAATCTCAGCATTGGTTTAATTTTTATTTACCTATTAAACAATGATGTTGAACATTTAAAAAAAATTTTTTTTACCATTTCTATTTATTCATTGAGAAGTGTGAGAAGTGTGTATCTTTGGATTTTGGCCTTAAATTTGGGGGCTCTGATTTTTTTTTTTTTTTGATTCTTTATATGTTCTGGCTGGACAGGAAAAAGAAAAGGAATAAAATACAAGAAAGGAAGAAGTTAAATTATTACTACTTTCAGATGACATGATACTCTACATAGAAGACTCCAAAACCTCTACCGGAAGACTTCTGGATTTAATGATCAAAATCAGTAGTACACCTAAATTCAAAATTAACACTCAAAAATCAATAGTACACTAACAAAAAACCTACTGAGAAAGAAATTAGAGAATTTACACCTTTCAGAGCATCATCCAAAAAGATGAAATGCTTAGGAATCAATCTAAGAAAGAAAGTAATAAATTCAAAATTACAATATTCTGAAAAGAGAGATCAAAAAGGATCTCAGAAAATGGAAATATACATCTTGCTCATGGATGGGAAGGATAAACATTGTGAAAATTGGCCATACTTCCAAAATTGTACAGATTTAGTGCAAACCCAATCAAAGTATCATTTGTGTACTTCACACAATTAGATAAAAACATTCCTAAAGTTGACTTGGAGCCAAAAGAGATCTAGAATAGCAGAAATATTCTTTTGCAATTAAGGCAAGGCAGGATATATTACAATCCCTAACAAAATTATACTACAATGTAAAGTGATAAAAACAATATTGTAGTTCAGGGTGTGTGTGTGGGGGGACAGATCCAAGGATCACCAGAACAGAGTAGGGGATGCAGAAATGGCTCCAAAGTCAGTCAGCTTGTTTTTGATAAAGAAACCAAACACATTCAGTGGAAGAAGGCAGCCTCTTAAATAAGTGGTGCTGAACACTGGCTTCCCACATGGCAAACACTAAAATTAGACCCATGTCTATCACTATGCACTAAACTAAGACTGAAATGAATCAAAGATCTAAATATTAACACAGTGCTCACTGTGGCAGCACGTATACCACAACTGGAATGATACAGAGGCAGTTGGCATGGCCCCTGCACAAGGATGACAGCAAATTGGTGACAGAACACTTGAAGACATAGGTTAGGCAAAGATTTCATGAATAAAACCCCCATCACAAGAAAATAATACAAAGAATCAACAACTGGGATCTCATCCTATCAAAAAAAAATTTGTATGGCAGAATATATCATCAGCAGAGTGAAAAGACAACCTTCAGAGAAGAAAATTTTTAGCTAATTGTCTATCAAAGATTTTTTCTTCTAATCTACTTCCAGAACTTCTAGAACACTTAATAGCTCATATGTTTCCTCATTCTTCTCCTTCCCTATCCTCCCCTCCCCCTTTTCCCCCTCTCACTCCACTCCTCTCTTTCTTAGGTCTCCTTTTGTCCTTTTGTCCTCTCCTCTGCTCCGGTCCTCTCCCCTCTCCCTGTATGCCCATCCTCTTTGATCCCCTGCCCTCTGTCGACAATTCACTGGTAGATATGGAGAAGCGATCTGCACTTCCGTTCATACCACGTTAGCTGCTAGTAAGCAAAGTTCCAAACTAAAAATTAGACAGTGCAGAATGTTACCACACACTAGTGAAGATTTGTAAATTAAGAAAATAAGGAATTGGTCTTTTTTGGAAGCAGAAATTTGGCACTGATTCATTTTACTGAAAAGACAAAATGTTAGAAATTTTGTTGAACTTATGATGAATTCTCTAAACTTATGAGTTTTTAAAAGTTTATTTCAGCAATGTGTTGATATAATGTGCCTCTTATTTTGAAAAATTCAAGTAAATATTTGTGGTTTTTGTTTAAAAATGAGTTTGTCACATTAATTTTTAATTACATAAGTGTATTGGTACATTTTAAGTATCCATAATCACATTCTGCATATGGAATTTGTGACCGTACCTGATAGAACTTGATTCTTTTTATGCCATTCCACTACCTTCCATCCTTTATCCCTCCTGTTTCATATCACATTTTAAATCAAAGTGCATGATGTGTTAACCATTACTGTACAAATGGGTTTGTGTAGGTGGATGAAATATTTTGTTTATGAAGTTCACTACTGTTTGCTCCCTGGATAATAAAATCTTGTGAGGTCTATGCTGGAGTTACAGGATATGTATGGCCTTACCTCACTGGTACAATCTTAGCATGTACAGAGGCTATTTCATTATTGCCCACACTTGATGTTTTGTTTTTCCTCTGCTTTATGGTAAAAATCAGATATTATACAAATTTTGTGATTCTGATGGAAGATAAATAATGTAACAATGCATTCCTCTGTAGATTTCCAGAATATCCTCTATAAAACAAGCTAGAGGACTGTTGATCACAGCCACTATAGCCTTGTCAATCTCATGTTCACCGCATAGGAGATAGGAGGACAAATTGTATGAAATGTACCATTTGTGCTTTATGCTATCATTCTTGTCTCACAGAAGCTTCACAACGGAGCTGTGATTAATTAGCTCCACAGAGCTGATTACTGTAGACCCTGATTTCTGTTAATAGCCATGTTTAGCTTGTTAATGTGAAATTTGTTTCTAGCAATTTACTTGATCACATAAATCCATGACTTATTGATTCTGTTGGATGTGACATCAGATAAATATTGAGAGCTGAAAATTTCACATCTTCTATAATATGTTATTGTTTCTTCCCTCTCTCTTCCATGGTACAGTTTAAATCATTTTTAATGTAAAAGGTATACCTGGGAAGATTCAGGAATCATTAATATGCATTGTATTGCCCATATTAAGTGGGTGATTCCATCTGTAACCCTAGAATCCTGATGTTTTAGATTAATCAATCAATTCTATTTGGAATATTTATTATTAAGCTAAAGCACTGCTACTTTACTTTTAGTATATCCTTTGATAGTATGAGAATAAAATCAATGATTAAAATAGAATATGAAAAAATAAATATAATCATGAAACTTCAGCCATAACAATGATAGTATGTAGGTAAATATACAGGTCAGGATGAAAAAGAACATCATTTTGTATTGCATCTCTAGCATATGGATTTATATTTATCTACTAACCATTTAGTGTATTTAAAATCACAGTTTACATAATTTAACATTAGATTCCGATTATGATGTTGATCTATTGCTCATTTTAATTGCAAAAAATTAAGCTTTACAGAAGCATCACTGTTCACAATTTGCCATTGGTTCACAAATGAATATAAATATTCATGCTTATCATAGATGCAGCATAGATGTTTCACAGAGTGGTGCGGTTATTTGTGTATTCATCCACAATTTTATATATCCATAATTTTATATATATTAACAATTTTAATATCTATGTTTATCTTTATACACATAGAAATTTATTTTCCAGGTATAAATTTAGTAGCATATTTATAAGTAACCAAGATAATTTATCATTTTGTAAGTATTCCATTTTAAGTGTTTTATTATAATAAAACAATTCATTACAAATCAAAGCCAGTGGTTACAAAATTTCTATTCTTGGTTATTTCCATATTAGAATTGTTTATTTTTTATTCACTTAAGAAAGACTTCAATGAAGTCTATTTATAATTAAGATTTAGTTTTGAAATAATATAAAAAGAGGTTTCAGAACTCTGCCTTGTGCCATAGTTACTTAGAAAAATAAGAAAATAGCATTTTTTCTCCATTTTAACCCTAGTATGCCATTCTTTGATAAAACTTGTGTGCTAAAGAATTAATGTTTTCATCACATTTCATTTTGTATCTACATCTGTGATAAATATATACATTGTTTTACTTACATTTTCTTTATACATTTTACATTAATACATATAATTTATGCATACATTTACATTATATATTATATATTTATACAATTAATTTTACATTTATACATATAATTTATACATTATACATTTATACATATAATGTATATATGTAAGCATACATTATTGATATTTCTTAAAATCTTTCAATAATTCAAGATAGTAGCACCCCCTAAATAATAGACATTACTCTGAACTCTTGGACTATTTTAAATACAGTGACTGTGAACTGGTGAAGTTCAATATAAATAGAAATATTTTACCAAATATGCAAATAGGAAGCAGTATGTTATTAATAGAAAACACTTCCTGAGGTAAAATAAATATACATTACATAGGCAGTATTTTGAATTTCACTCTTTTAATGCTGTTCTGCTCCTCATAGTGTAGGCAATCAAATGCCAAAATAATAGTAAACTCTGTGAACTCCCTCAGTTTGTTTTAATATGCCAAGTTTCCTTCTTTCACTTAGAATCATTAATATCACAAAATTAACCATTGGGACAAGGGAATTTAGTTGTCTAATGGCACAAACTCTGGAATCAAGTGTTTTGGATTCTTAATTGGACTCAGCCTATGACCTTGAAATAATCATCTCACTTAGCTTATTCATATCTAAAATTAATTTAATGCTATTCTCCAAGTGTTTACTGAATTGAAAATGTACCATCTCTTCAAGATAGTTCATTTATTTTTTCTCACATTAGAAATTAGGAATTTGACCCTTTAATTTTCATGCATTTAAACTTACATTTTCATTTCATTGACCATAATTGTTACTCCGTGCTTATGAAGATATTTTACAAAGAAACATTATTAACAGGGGTAGAATTGTAAGGTGATAAATACTATGACATAAACCATAGCAAAATCATGGGAACATGTCTTAAAATACCTGTTTCCCAATCATTTATTTCGCTTTGTTAGACATGTGTTATGGATTAAGAACTGGTGGTCAATTTAACGCCAGCTGGATTACATCAGCATGGCACTGGGCAAAGATGCCCCACCTGAGGAAACTTGCAGGATAAATAAGTGGAGAAGAAGGGAGGTGTTGAGGATTGAAGCGTTATTGCATTGTTGTATGGAGGCATTGTGGGTTCTCCTATGAGTTGCTGTCTGAGCTGTTGGTTCTGGAGAAGCTTTGGTCTTCACATCAAGCATTGCTTCCTGCCTCTGGAGGGGAAGGCATGTGCTGCTTGGTCTCCAGGATGAACTCCTCAAGCTGCTTCCTGGCATGTACCTGACTATGCTTGTCATCGGAGGAGCTCGGGGCCTCCGTGTCGCTGAGAATGGCTGTGCCTTTCAGGTTAGTCCTGGTCTTTGTTGTGAGTATGACTTCTTGGCTCCAGCGTAGAACGCTCATCCCGCTAGCACAGCTCCTTTTTCCTGCTGGCATAGACTTTCTGGCTTCCACCGCTGACCCTTGGGTCCTCCCGGCACGGATGTGTAAAAAAGACTGGCGTGAGTCCTTCTCGTGGGCTCTGGCCTTCCAGTTGGACTCCTGGGAGGCATTGTCATGAGCTCTGGGTTTTTATCTGGACTCATGTGGCACATTGCTGTAGGGTTTAGGCTCTTGACTAAGTAATCTATGTCTTTGGTGTTGCAGATAGATTTCCTGCATTTTCTGTGTTAACTTCCAGTGACCATTATAAAAATATTATAAACTCCATGTCCTAATCCTAGTTGTTCTCTGTGTACAGCCCCTGACTACAGCAACATGTTATTCAATACTTACGTAATTTTTCCTTATTAAGACACCCCTACATTTTGATACAGTGATAGAATGCTTTGCTCCAGAAGTTTATCTAGTGTTAGAAACAGCTGGAGTTTAGTGCAGTAGAAATAAAATATGAACACAAAAGGCCATATTTCAGTTTCATTATGTGTGACCAGATAGTTAGTCTGGTGAATAGCTATCAAGAGAAAACTCAATTTTGAGGTTGTTCATACAAAATGTTTTGTAAATAATATAAATTCCTATAAGATATGTAAGTTTATTTAAAAATTTTGGTACCATTTTTGCAATACATAGTGAACATTTTCATCATGAGGTAGGGATACAGATTCATGTCACTTCTTTTTTTTTTTTTTTTTTTTTTTTTAATCGGTACCCAGGATCAAACTCATGACTGCCTGCTTGCAAGGCAGGTGCTTATGCCGCTGAGCTAAATCCCCAGCCCCTATGTCATTTCTTGATCTTGAGGTTTTCAGGAGGATTTCAAGATTCTCATAAATTTCATAAGATATTTCTTTTTTGTATTTTATGGGAAAAAAGAAAACAAAATTT